GGTTCTTCGTCATCGCCAAACAACTCAACAACTTCTTCAGTGTCGTCGACATCGTCACCCCAACTCCAATACGGCTGCTGCTTCTCAATTACAGATGGGCGGAGAGGTTGCACATCAACCTGCAATTTACAGAGATAAAAAACATATTATGAAACCTATAATTTGAATCAGAAGCATAACATTAGTATTATTAACAGAACTAACCTCTGCATTTTCAAAGACTTGGCTCATTACTTCGTGAAAACGAGGCAAACTATTGATTCTCCATTGTAGTATACGAGGGACTTGGGCATTCTGTTCGCGCACAACGATATGCAATGCAGCGAATGCTGGAAACACCTCAAAAGCCCATATCTGTTTTCAAGAAAAATATATCAATCACTGTAAACAAAGTAAATGGAACTTATACATAAACGGATATTTCCTCACCTGAAGTGCAAAGCCAAATCCTTTTATGTGGTACTCCCTTGGTCTACCACTTGCCATTGTCTTGGATTGCTTTGCTGATTTTTGGGTTTTTAAGGCTTTCTGGGGCACTTTGACTCGCTGGTACTCTGCGCACAGTGCCCTCAACAATGACGAATTTGTCTTGGCATATGACACAGCACCCCACGGATACTTCTGGAAGTCTTCAACATCTTCGGCCAATTTCAAGTAGCGCATGTCAATGTTGACATGCTTTTCACTGCCCAACAGCACAAACACAGCGAAATATAAAAGCCCAAACTTGAAGACGTCCTCCTCATCACTGCAGTCGATGAAGGCTTGTTCGAGTTCGGAAAGGCTGACCGTTTTATTGTTGCAGAAATACTTCTTCTTCAATGAGCAGTTGTCATTAGTTGCAGTCGGAATGAAGGGAAGCTTTCCAAACTGCAGCCCTGTGATGACGCAAAACTGCTGCGCTGTGAACTGTATGACCTTGTTGCCAACGATGAATTTGATCCCGTTGACTTGAGAAACTGTCCTCGGGTCTGCCTTTCTCAACAACAAGCCATGGATAATTTGTGTCCTCAATTACTAACAAATGGCCAAAACAACTGTCCTTGTACCTTTGTAACTGTTGCCCACTAAATTTGTCCTTAATTGTACAGATCGCCTGGTACTCTGCGCACAGTGCCCTCAACAATGACGAATTTGTCTTGGCATATGACACAGCACCCCACGGATACTTCTGGAAGTCTTCAACATCTTCGGCCAATTTCAAGTAGCGCATGTCAATGTTGACATGCTTTTCACTGCCCAACAACACAAAAACAGCGAAATATAATAGCCCAAACTTGAAGACGTCCTCCTCATCACTGCAGTCGATGAAGGCTTGTTCGAGTTCGGAAAGGCTGACCGTTTTATTGTTGCAGAAATACTTCTTCTTCAATGAGCAGTTGTCATTAGTTGCAGTCGGAATGAAGGGAAGCTTTCCAAACTGCAGCCCTGTGATGACGCAAAACTGCTGCGCTGTGAACTGTATGACCTTGTTGCCAACGATGAATTTGATCCCGTTGACTTGAGAAACTGTCCTCGGGTCTGCCTTTCTCAACAACAAGCCATGGATAATTTGTGTCCTCAATTACTAACAAATGGCCAAAACAACTGTCCTTGAACCTTTGTAACTGTTGCCCACTAAATTTGTCCTTAATTGTACAGATCGCTGTTTTTGTATGGGAAAAGGTCAACGCCTTTCCCTGGATTTTTTCATCCGCAGCAATCATCAACTTTGCTTTCGAGACCATATTTCCCTACACACCACCATTATACAAATAATTTCAAGCCTTTTAAATATACACAATTACAAGCAATAAACACACAATACAGATGCATCTCATGGCAATATGCACAAGATATATCAGTGATAAACCTACAATACAGCCCCAATAGAACTTTATATGCATTTCATGTTTGTTCACCAATGGCCCATGACAGAAAAAATACAAATTCATTGTACCTTCAACCCTTATCTTTTCTCTCCACAAGTCTTGCTCTTATATTTTCCCATTTCCTTCTCTTATATTTTCCAATTTCCTTATGTTATATTTTCTGTCCACAAGCCGTGCTCTTATATTTTCCCACGTCCTTCTCTTATATTTTATCTTCAAAAGGCTTCCTACAAAAGTTTTTCCCATTTCATACACCTACAAGTGCAAAAAATGGGAAAAACTTTTGACTACAAAGTAACTACGGAGTCGAAGTGAAGTGAAGTGAAGCCTATCGTCGGATTTGACACAAGGGGGTAATAATGACACATTGTGCAGAAAAACATCATTTTATTTGAGAGAAACAATGTAATTCGTAAGCAGTGAACAGTGTGGATATAAAAAATAATTTAATCCGAATTGCCATTATTTAAACCTCAAACTAAATATGTTGTGTATTCCAGGTTGATTCATACATTGTTACATGTCAATAAATCAAGAAGCTGCGTTACGTAACCACAAAAAGCATGCTGAGAAATGAGAGGCATCACAAAAAACAGAAATCTAACCTCA